CGCCCGCCCCGCCCCGCCCCCCCATAGCTTTTTTTTCATCACTTGACCGAGGATCAAAATTATGAAGTCCGTTAACTTGACCACTAGTCTAGTTTCAGAGTGCAACGTTAATAAACACTCTCTCATTCGCCATTATTGATATTTTTAGGTCTTTAAAGACGTTTTTGAGGCCTAGTGGTTGAGTGGTAGCGTATCGCGCTTCCACACTACAGGTCTAGGTTATATTCCCGTGCTGGGCAAGGTCGACTCAGCCTTTCATTCCTACTGCAGTTGGTCGATAAATTATTATCAAGATTGCTTATAGGGAATTAAATACCTAGGGTCTCGCTTTAGACTGACCACCTGATCGGGACATCTGTTCATGCACCTCAGGGCTCAATGGTCACGTATACTGGGATGGACACAGTAGGCCCTGGTCCTCATGAGTTGTTGTGCCACTGAGTTTGAGTTTGAAAGACGTCTTTGAGTTTTTCCTTCAAGATTTGAGAACAATTTTTAGATTGGGTTTAGCATTTTTATTAAATCTTACATCCTATTAATAGTACACACGCTACTTTTACAAACGAACAACAGTTAACAAATATAAAACAGTTATAACATACTTATGAACCACAACCCCGACAGAGAGAAAACTATTGATGAAACAAGTTGAAAATCATTCCTCAACCACCATGGATCTTATTTTTTTTCTTCTAAGACATCCCAAAACAAAACTAAAAAAATAAGTTAGAAAAAAATTCGCTTATATCTTTTTTTTTTTAAATCTTATTTTTCCTTCCTTAAAAACAACGCTGAAGCATTGTCTGAAGAACACAAGGAAGGGTATCAACGAAGGAAACAATCTCTTAAAACTTTTGAAGGTAAATAAAAGAGAAGTGTAGTCGTATTTTGTGGCAAAGAGAGATAAGTGAGGTCAGTGACTTGGATTAGAAAGAAGTTATATTACATTTCAATAACTCTTCTCTTGATACTGGAACTTGACAAGGCTAATTGAATTTCAGGAAAGTATCTAAGATTTAGAACGCGTTCTTAAAACTGCAAATGATGTCAAATAGGGTACGAAATTACTTGGCAAAAGAGTATTTTGTTTTCAGGACAGAACTTTTTTTTTGGAAACCTCTGTGTTAAAATATTGCGTAGCAAAATTGGTCCACAATTTCAAGTTGTGTGTGTCTTGTTTGTTACAGTATGAACGAAAATGAACACTCGGAAACTTATAGGCATGCGTCAACTGAATTGTTAAATTGTTCAGAAGTAATACAGAGAAATTTAGAGAGATTTTCAATTTCTACTATTAGTTTACACTCTCCCTATATATATATTCCCTATAAGTATCTAAGTATCCCTATAAGTATCTAAAGTATCTAAGATTTAGAAAAGGTGTTCTTAAAACAGCAAATGATGTCAAATAGGGTACGAAATTACTTGGCAAAAGAGTATTTTGTTTTCAAGACAGAACTTTTTTTTGGATGCCTCTGTGTTAAAATATTACGTAGCAAAATTAGTCCACAATTTCAAGTTGTTTGTGTGTGTCTTGTTTGTTACAGTATGAACGAAAATTAACACTCGGAAACTTATAGGCATGCGTCAACTGCATTTTTAAAATGTTTAAAAGTAATACAGAGAAATTTCGAGAGATTTTCAATTTCTACTATTACAGTTTACACTCTCCCTATATATATATTCCCTATAATATCTTGTTCAAATTTTCAATCGTTAATAAAATACTTTTTATTCATCCAGTCAAGTTCAAATACACTTTTTTAAACTTGTAGTGAAGGACACTTGATGTTAATACAATTTTTTTAGTAATTATTCATTATTTTTTTAATTATTGAATAAATAATAACAAACAAAAAATAATCTAATACCATACATAAAAAAGAAAAATCGCTCGTTGTGTTCTTGTAGCGCCATGAATAGCGTGTTGGACTTCTAATTCAAAGGTTATGGATTCAAATACCACCTGGGATGGCCTAATTTCTGAGAATGTGAGTTCTTTTTATTATACTATTTTATTGGAATAATTAAATTAATGAATAAAAATAGCAACAAACAAAAATAATAGTCCTACACCATATATAGAAAGGAAAATAGAAAATCGCTTTCTATTTTGCCACTTAATATTGTGATTCTGTCATATATATATATATATATATATATATATATATATATATATATTCATTCTAACTATTTAATAAAAAGTAACTAAAAATAAAATTTATCTTTATTGACCTAAGTAGGAGTTGACTTAATTTTTTTACTATACTTTCTCAATTTAAAGTCAAATAAAAATGCAATGGGAATATTAAAGGAGTAATCAATTGAAAGACAAAATTTGATTTCAGAGAGAGATTGAAATAAAACTATATCAAAATTTATTTGTTTTTACTAAGTAACTCTCATCATAAGTATATCCCATTGTTTTTCACCATATCTTTCTTTACTTATTTTCTTTTCATGTTTGGATGCTTCCAAAAGTCGAGGGAGTGATGAGTTTATGGTTTATGATATTTTTTATCGAGTTCGAGGGTTCTTCTGAACATCTGCCGCGTAGCGAGGAAGCTGTAAGTTTAAACTTCTAGACCTCAAATAATTTTGTTGGTGTGGTATGGAAGTTTAGAAAGTGATGTTTCAGTTGAAGTGTCACCCTCTTCACATTTGATCAGTGTCAAGATAATGAACTCCGCAGCCAATAGCACTCATTGTCAATTGCTCCAAGAGTGTGATATTAATAAAAATCAACATAAATGTTATACTTTCAGAAATATGGTACATTTATGTGCACAGTATTTATGCTTTTTTGCACAATAATTTGCACAACATCCATTTCAACTGGAAATTTGCATCTCCAGGAATCAGTAGAACTTTCTCATGTACTTGATATATTGTTTCTGTTACATCAGTGCTTCTCAAACTTTCAATGTTTGCGACCCAATATTCAATCATAATTTGCATCGCGCCCCCCTTCATACAATAACGATGTATTAAATTCAATAATACTATACTTTGACGCTAAGCCCACTATACGACTTTAACCTCTTATGTCCCTCTGACGTATATAAACGTTTCGCTCAGACAGTGTGTTCATTGTCCCCTGACGTATATATACGTCTTTCCAAAGTAATATCTTTTCTGTGAACTGCTATCCATAAAATTATTCCAAAGGCTTTGAAAAGCAATAAAATGACCTTGACAGTGTTTGCGAAGGATTAACTTGTTTCAGAGGATTTGATTATTTATTCTTTTTCCAGCCTCCCCCCCCCCCCCTCAATACGCCACGTACGCTTACCTACGTGCCAAACGGTAGCATTGGGGAATGAATCGCATGATTTTTATCTGGCATTTAAGGATTAATTATATAAAGCGTTTCAATTATCCAGATAAGTGATAATATTGGCATATAATTTTATATATTACAAATCCATTGGGTCACTGGTAATTAATAAACTTGTACTTAACTTAGTATTGTTAAATTAATTATAAAATATATTGTGCAGTACTGATACATTTATAAGTGTATTATAGTGTAAATGAGTATTTTATTTATTTTTTATTATGTCTGAATGCATTTGTTTACTTTCGGTAAGTTAATAATTTGTTTAAATAATCTTTTGTTTTCGACTTTTCAATATGCTCGCGCCCCCTCGTAAGATTATCACGCCCCTAGAGGGCGCGCCCCACAGTTTGAGAAACCCTGTGTTACATGCGTTTATGTAAATTAATAGGAATTTCTTTGACACAAGAGGGAAGACTACAACATTCTGTATAAATTAAAACGACACAATAAAGTCTTGCCAATTCTGTGGATTTTAAATTTGGTCTTTATTTTGTAGAAAAATAATGTTATTTCAATAGTCTGATATAATCCAATATATATTGTTAATTACGTTTCAGACTCTGTTTGCTTCTCTACCGAAAAGTAATTATTGCCGGAAAGATCGCTTGCGGTTTAAGATATATTAATTACATAATAATAGGAAATGAATTATATATAGAGAGAGAGTGACTTTGGTGGCACCTGTAGTTTGTTCAAAATATGTCGCCAAGTTTCCAAATTCGGGGCAATAATAGATGTTTCTGGAAAAATCCAAAACAATCTAGGATGATTATCTCTCTCCAGAGTTCGATACGCCATTAGCATCAACCTATCTAAGGACACAGAGAAGTAACAGCAATTTGTTTGAAAGTTTTCATTAACTTAAGGCGATATTGGTCAATATCGAATGAAATACTGTGGCCAATTGGTAAATACAATGTCTACGTATTTCTATTGCTCCGTAAGCTTTGAATTCGTGAAAATGTATATTTTGCGTGTGTGTATTATTATGAATTGTACAAGTGTTAATTGTTTCCTGTTAGCAAACTTCGTTGTAATTACTGGATACTTTGTTCCGCATAAAAGATATTTAGAGGAATTAAAACTCGATCACGTGGCCTTGACTACCGAGATCATTGTTTATCTCGAATAATAAAATTAAACTGTACAATGGGATATTCGTTTATGATAGATATGTCGCAGGAAAATGACGAAATTAGGAATTTCATGAAATCCCTAAGGGATAGGATCAATTGACGGGAGATGTTAAAGAACGTCTCTTCAAGGTCATTTCCATGATGAAAATAAATGATTTTATCGAGCCCTGAACT